CAGTGACATGTTTTCAGTCCCAGTCCCCCTTGAGGATGTGAAGTGCAAGCCGTACCCAACGGTTGTTGAAGTTCCACAGCCTGATCACAGTAAAGGATTTAATTATCCATTCCACGTTCAGTTGCATCGATGTGCTGGTTCTTGTCACATAAAACCAAGAATTCAATCATGTGAACCTACAGGTAAWATCTGATGGATGATCAAGTTTATAACAGCACCGCTAGTTCGATTATATAACGCTCGCTCTTATCTGTGTAATCTTGGACCTCTTGGGGCTCATTTTTCCACAGGCAGCCCAGGAGTTCTTTTACTTATCATAAATGACCACGTGCAGATAACGACACGAATTCTTTTGTATTTCTAGTGAAGTCTAGCTCAATTAACACTTACCACTATATCCTTTCGAAAATGTGAATCGATCATTTTTAAAACAAAACTAACGATCGCAAAAAAGGTCCTCGTATGCACTTTATTGTCAGACAATGGAAGTGATTGGGTTTAGGCTGTGTAGAAGTCGCTTCCTCCGCGGGTATAGTATACCAGCTTCTGGGGAGGCTATAATATGTCACTCAACCAATCAGAGATCAGGAGTTTTAACAGACTTATATTCACTTCCACAGAAACTGAAAATATCACCCTTTTGGGATTCACTGTGTCATGGTCCTCATCAAGCGATAGACGGAACGACTTACACCGCGCCCCATTACTCGTCAAAATGCTAAACCACACTAAATGCGGTTGCAAATGTATAATAAAACCATCACAATGYAATCCTGCAACGCACCGATTTTCAAAGGAAATGTGCAGATGTGAATGCAAGGAGAAAAACCCACGGTGTCCCAGCTATCACGTGTGGGACCCCATAGAATGCAAGTGTGTTTGCAATGCTCCGAGAGATGTTTATTGTCCCAGAAGATTTGTCTGGAATCAWGAGAAATGTTCGTGCGTGTGCAAAAACACTAGATGCAGAGCRAACAAAGTTCGAAATCACAGAAACTGCCGTTGTTATTGTTCCAAGAATTTACCTCCATGTGGTCAAGGACTTGTAAGAAGTCGAAGAGACTGCAAGTGTAAACCTTCTCATTGAATATTTCGTGAAAAACGAACGAATCAACTCATTGAAGAATCTAAGGTGTGGTCCATCCAGGAGTACCCGGACATTTGAGGGTCCCCAATTGGATTTTACCATTCAGGATTATAGTTTACGAGCATTATTATAAGTAATACCATGGAACGACGGAAATTAGTGATTCAATTTCCCCGAAAACCGCTAGGGGAAATTTGTCTTCTACTAAATTTCCCTTGCATAAATTAAATAGACATAAATTTAGTTAAAGACGAAAAAATCTAAATTTGCCTCATGTTATTCATGAAGGAAATTCGGATTTGTAAACCCCTAGGAAGACAATGGAATCCGAGGTGATCATGGTATTACTATAGGTTAATAGAACAGTGTACAAAAATTTTTTACAAACTTTTCATACTTTCTAGTGTCAGAAATCGGCGCAGAATTAATTTATGTCTATTTTTAGGGTCATTTTTATACCCGATCGTCCAGCCCCTCTAACRCATTTGTAAAGGAGTACCCCCTGACCAAAAGCAAAACGTTGCTGCATGCAAAGGATCAAGCCAAGAGAATATCGAGTTATTTCTAGTGAATGGGCCTTGTCAATAGAATGCAAACGCCAAAATCATCTAGGACAACCCAGCTGGTTATAAGAATCTAAAATTTAACAAYTTGTCAGGCTGAAATTTTTATTTTTATAAGTCACCTTTCATATACGAACCATTTCCAAGTAGGTTCTTAATTTACATATATGAAGTCAATCTGTTATATTTTCTTGCAAAAAAAATTTTCCATAATTTCCATACCTTGCAAAAGATGACTGATTAGTCGAAAACGTTTGTACTTAAAACTTTTAATACGCCTTAAGTTCTTAACATACTAATAGAGCAAATATTATGTCAATGAAAAACAAAAGAAAGAAAGAAAGAAAAATTATAATAAAAGACGAATCTTGGTTTACTGCATGGTACGATCATTTAAACTGGAAAATAATTGTAAATAAATTTATTAGTGAAATATCTATAC